TACGGCTTTGTGTCGCACCCGGGGATGCAGGGAGTGAGCGGCTTTGGTGTCGCACCTGTGGATGGAATAATTATGAATGTTTTAGTTGTAGAAATAGAGAAGAGATGGTCCACCATTAGATTAACATCTGCCGTTAGATTTAAAGATATAAATCATCCGAGGGTCCTCGAATAAGGTGGGTACGAAACTTTAGGTGAGAGCTATTTTTCAATTCCTTCGCGCTTATATACACACACACACTGATCTTATTCTTATCTTAGGCAGTGTTTGGTTGCCATGACCAAATCGTGCATGCATTGGTTCATCCTGGATAACTATGTGGGGTCCACCTGTGCCCACCGTTTGGTTGCCGGGCTGAACAAATACATCCATGACGGAACAATCCAGATGCAAGGAATATTGTTCTGAGATGCTGCATAATCATGTGCACCGTGAAAGGCCGAACGACGCCATTCAAGACGGCATTTCTCGCGCACGTCTCGCCTCCCACTCGTTCCCCTGGCTCGGTGACTGGCGTCCTGTGCTTCCGGCCGCACAGGATTTGTTCGTTACTACTTTCACGTCCATATCCCTTTTACTTTTCTTGTGCATGTATTTCCTGGCACCTAAAAAAATATTTATTGGGAAGTACCACAAACTAATTGCAGCTATCTTATTATATTGTTGCGTTTATAATAGTAAATTTGTGCAAATGCATGGTACACGCAAAAAATTTGGATGAACCCATACAACCATCAAACATAATCTTATACCGAATCATACAATTCCATATACAGTAACCAAACAATCAACATGTACCATCTCATCTAAAATTATCCCATCCATGGTCCATCCGTTCAGGACGATCCATCCCATTCACTTCTATACATCCAACCAAACACTACCGTAATAAACCACTTATATATGTGTGCATCCTTCTAACGTGCTAGTGGAGTAGCCTTTCTTAGCTTTGGCTAATAGAGCAACTTCACTGGTAAAGTTAAAGTTGTTCAAAAACCTGTAAATATCCATAATAACCTTCAATTTTTTTTATTTTCTTTCACCTTCATTCTCCTTTATTTATTTATTTATTTATTTTCTCTCCTTATTTCTCCTCATGCTCTTCATTGGACCACCATCTGTTTCTCCGTTTCTCCGATCCGCCACATCCGTCTCCACTGCTACATCCATCTCTCTTCGACTATGCCCTTCCTCGTCTCGTCGGACATCGACCCTGTCCCGATGTTCCTCCCTCCGCTCGTGCTACCGCTCCCACCCACCTCTCTTCGACTCTAGCACATATATTTCTCCTCGCCGCTTGTTCTGCCACCCCACCTGCTAGGATTCTGACTCACCTCAACTGTCCAGTCCCCTACGACCTACCAGGATTCAGATTCCGCCCCCGACACGACTTCGCCCCGCCCTGCGACTCCGTACCTGACGACTCTCCACCCTGCCCTCCGCGTCTAGATGAAGGGAGGTTCAGGAAGGGCCCATGTGCCCAAATGGAGGAGCAGGGCGACGCCGCTTTTTTGGACTCCCTCGAAGGATTTCCGCTGTAAAGAGCGCGATTCATGGAAGGAGCGGACACTTCATACCCCGTTTGGTAGGCGAAGGTGTGAAACTGCTCTCGAAACGACTCCGGGAGTGCTACTAAACAGTGCCTTATTTATCAGTTGAGTATACTCATGTTTTAAGACACTCTAAATTTTACTCATTTACCGGTTTGAGCCCATATATATACACCATCGTATTAGTATATGAAATAAGTATAACCATGTACTCTGTATATAATTGACATATATACTATTCTTGATGATCAAATACGATCACATACTCTAACATATACTTCTTCGAGCCATATATATTTTATAGTCTTAAAATTAAGATATGGGAGTAGCTAAACCTTAGAAGTAAATAGAATTTTCTGACCGCAATTTCTTTTTCCGTCTTGTGTCTGTCACTTTCTACCGCCCGCCCGCGCCTGGCACTGTCCGTGCTGTGATGTCTACGGTGAGTAGAGTTGGTGCGTGCGATACGGAAGCACTTGGATACGGAATCCAGGTACCGTATCACCCAATGAAGTTGGCGCATGACATGAACGAAGGAAAAAAAAACAAAGAGGAGAACAGGGAGCAGAATCGGCCAAACAATGCTGACACGCGGCTCTGCACCTTTTGCAAAAGGCCCTCCACATTTTAGGAAGTAAACCCGCCGTCCAATATATACCTTCTAAACAATAATATTTCAATGTGAAGAAGGAAAAAAATCCATGAGCATGTTCGTTCGTTGGTTTCAGCCAGGCCTTATCAGCCAGCCAATAGTATTTTTCTCTCACAACAAACCAGTACCAGCCGGGCTTATCATCCCAGAAACCAACCAACGAATAGGCTCCATAACGTAATCATTTTGCAGAAATCCCCTAGAAGTTTTGCGAACCCCCCCACATAGGCGTATCAACCCTAGCGCGATGATCCTTTTACATGTGTGCCATTACGAAAGATGCTCCAGACCCACAGGTCACTAAAAAGTCTGAACGCACCATGGTGCCATGACGCTAAACTTTCTTGCCTTCCACGCCATTCCGTCCACCTTCTGTTAGGTTTCCACCGTTTGACAGCCCTGATATGCGGGCCCAACCAGTGACGATCGCCCTGTTCGTTTAGGCTGGTTTTGCTTATAAGCCATTGCTGAAAGTACTGTTGGCTGGTTTGGTGTGAGAGAAAAATACTGTACGTTGGCTGATAAACCATGGCTTATAAGCCAAATACGACCAAGCGAACATGCTGGATGTCTAGAATACCCTTCTTTCTCTAGCCGGTGGGGCCAAGACGTAAGTGACCTAGTCACCGTCTTCCTCATCATCATGTCATCTTCCTCTACCTCCATCTTATCCAAAAACAGGCCTACGATGGTGGCTCGGCAGGAGTGGCCTGCGCGAGCGTCAGCGCGTGGCCGACCTCGAGGGCAGCAACGGATGTGCGCGGCGAGGCGAGTCCACCCCGAGCCCGATGTTGGACGCGCGTAGCTCACTGTCGGCCATGTGTGTCTCCTCGGCTCCAGCCGTGCCCCTACGCGCCCCGCTGCCGGAGCCCACTACCTATGTGACCACGCCGCCAGAGCCCGTGCGGACTTCGCCACGGACCTCGCCCAGCTCCGCCGCGATTGCGGCGTCTCAATCGCCCACCCCACCGCCGGTCGTGCGCCCCGCCGCCGGCTACGCCCCCCCACCGCGTGCTCCGGCCAGTCCGAACGAGCGAGCGAGTGAAGCCGCCGCGGCCACACCGCCACCCGCCGCGCAACAGGGAGAGGAGAGAGAGCAGAGTCACGGGGCACGGCAGCGCCACCGCAACCACCATGGCAGCTCTCTGGAGCTTCACCATTTTCTAATCCAAGACCATGGGGAGGGAGAGGAGGGCAAGGGGGTTCTGATGGACTACCTACCTTGGTCGATTACAACTCAGGGATAGAGATCGACAGAGCGCCGCTGCAACCACCATGGCCGGCGAGCAGTGCTCGCAGCGCCGCCGTGTTCCACTGCCTGTAGCCGTCCTTGGCCCCAACCAAAACCGCTGCCAGCTCCGCCTTCTTCTCCTCTGCACGTGTGCCGCTCCGTTCCCCGGGTCGTGGTCGCCGCCATGGGCCACTGCCGCTGGGAGCCACCGCAGCGCGCGCGGGTGCCTTGGTGCTCGTGCACCACAACGTCGGCAGCAGGCTAACAAGCGTCGGACGCCGACGGCGTGGCCACGTCGTCGGGGGGAGACCGCGGTGGCAGCGGCGTGGGTGGCCGCGTGGCTGGACGCGTTCCCGGACGGCTCTGTGGTGTACGTCAGCTTCGGGACACAGCATGCGCTATCACCGGCGTAGGCGGCGTCCGTGGCGGAACTGCCGCGTTTGTGTGGGCTCGGCTGCGTTCGCGCTTCACTAAGTTATCTAGCAGCTGTAAAAATTTGAGCTTCATTTGACTTTTAAATTGCTACCAGATTTCAATTCTTCCACCACTGTTACATGTTGTAAACTGCTGCACTATACCTGACAAGATCCACTCTAAAACCGAAGCACCTCTTATCCAATTCTCATGAAATTTGTACAAAATCTTAAACCATAAGTCTAAAGCTTGTGTATCAATTTTTATGCCAATCCAATAAGTTTTGATCACTCAAACATGGCTGCGGAGCTGCTGCGTTCGTGTGGGCTCTGTGGAGCTGTCGTCGGACGCGCTGGCGCGGAGCTCGGCAGCGTTCGTGTGGGCGGCGAGGACGGGCACTACTGTGCCGGACGTGCTCGAGGCGGGCACGGTGTCGCGCAGGCTGGTGATCCGTGGGTGGGCGTCGCAGGTGGAGGTGCTGCGCCACCGCGCCGTGGGCTGGAACTCGGTGCTGGAGGAGGCCGCCGCCGGGGTGGCCATGCTGGCGTGGCCCCATGGGCGCCGACCAGTTCACGGACGCATGGCAGCACGGAGCCATGCGGATATGTGCAGAAGCTGCCCAGCCGATCGGATAGAGGAGAGGGAGAAAATAAAATAAGTGAGGAAGAAAAGAAAATGAGAAAATAAATTTCTGATGGTATGTTAGATTTTTTTTCCTGTGGTTCGACACCGTTAGAGATAAATATAGATAGAATAGCGTGAAAGACCAGAAAATTTAGATCAAGATGTGTTCAAACAACCTTTTCATTTAGCTGTGGCTTATCGTAAACGATCGTAAATTTTCAGCCGAAACACAACCTGTCAGTCTGAAACTTTCTAGCGGCGTGTACGTCGAGAACCCCCCCCCGCTCTTTCACTCTCCCCGCTGCGTCCGCACCAAACGAGCTCGCTGCCGTTGCTGGAGCGCACCGCACGAGCTCGGCGCCATTCGACAGGCAAGCAGCCAGGCGGGGGCGAAGGCGTGCTGAGCAACAGCCCGAAGACAGCGACATGAATCGAGGGTACGGCCGAGCAATTTCTTCTTTTCCCTTCTCCTTCACTCAGGCACCTTGGTGCGACATGCAGGGCGAGGTCCTCTGCGTGGATCTCGGCTTCAGCTGTCGGATCCGTGACGGGCTCCACCAGATCCATGCTGGGAGATGAGGAGCGGTGGGAACCACCTCCTCCATGGCGTGCCGGCGCCGGCCAGTGACACATGGTGGAGGGTCAAACTGAACGGTGACCAGTAGACTCCTCCCTGCCCACGCACCAAACAGATCCCTTCCTGGCGGCTTCCTCCCGCCTCGGGCGCCCTCATTCTCGGCGTGGTGGCGTCCCTCAATCCAGTGCCTCTATCGTAGAAGCTAGCTGCGTGCAATGGAACAAGAACACCGTTCAAAGCAGTCGATGTCCACCAACAAATTCAGCAGTACATGTACAGGAGGCCCGCCGATTATCCATTAAAATTTCCAGTGTTTTAGACTTTCAATCAGTAGTTTCTTACGTACTTACAATGGGTATATTGTTTGTTTGCACAGATGGCTAGAATTTTCCATTTGGGAGGATCTGGTGGAGTGCACGACTGCACATATAGAGAGCCAGACAGGTATCTGCATGTCTGATATGCCTATGATTAATATCAGTTAGTTCCATCCATTCTTTGCTGTCCATGCCTCTTATAATTTATCTGTTCATAGAGCAAGCAAAGATGCTTAATTAAAAAATAGAGCACCCACCATTTGTCTCCACCAGTTGCGGTTGCAGCCAGCCCTTGTGTGTATGATCGTGTATTGGTTATCACTTGGTGTTTGCCATTGCTGAATTAACCTACTGCTCTTTTCATCAACTACATATTTTGGTATAAAGAGATATGAAATCTACAATGCACATACTTCTCCATCTGCAATCTGTCTACCAGGAACAAGCAAGACAAGCAATTGCTAAACTGAAATTTGAACTCTAAACAAGGTGGTTCAGCTTTTGTACAGTCAGATTGTAAATCAGTGAACTAAGAATTGATATTGTTGCTTATCACCATTGCAGTGCTGTATTCATCTGGTCCTTCAGCAATCCAAAGCTACTGAGCAAGGATGCTCCCTCTTTTCCGACCTGCTTTGAGGAGGAACCACATTGACTGAATATTGTTCATCGGAGCTATGCAGCACGGATACGGATACGCGTATCGGTATCGGAAGGATACGGATACGCGGATACGGTAATTTCCTAAGAAACCCGATACGTGGATACATTTTATTATTATTTTAATAAATATAGGGCTCGTTCGGCTGGTTGAAAAACCAGCCGGATTTTACTATGCACGGATGAAAAACACTGTTTACTTTCTCACAAATTCCTTCAGATTCATCCACATTCCTCCAAATTCTTCCTAGCGAACAGGGCCATAGATAATAGCGCATATTTAAATAGTGAAAGAATGAAAGAGTGAAAGTAGTAAATTACCTTGCAGTAGCAATTACCAGCCAAAGCAAAGACCGGAACTCCGGAAGCATCTCCATTCTTCAATTGTCCATTCTCGAGTTCTTCAAGACTCCAAGTCTAGAATTTGCACAGAAAAACCAAGTAACCAACTATCAATCAATTTATTACTAAAACTTGAGTATTCAATAATCAGTAGTAGTTCAGTACATCACCTTCTACTACTAGTGTACTGGAGTCTGAACTCTGAAGTAGACAGGAGAGGAGAGGACAAAGGAGTACTGCTATTTAAAACTGATAAGTGATAACAATAAAACATTGCAATTAACCACTTAAGAGTACTATTCATGCAGTAGCAAGTTCCTATTCCTCATTTGTTTCATTGTCATCCACAATATCAATCGGCGGCTCATCTAGACCAACACTACCGGAAACAGTGACTTTGCCGTGTGCCACAGGCACTCGGCAAAAGCTTTACCGAGTGTAACACTCACACTCGGCAAACAACACACGACATCTATAATGTCGGTGAACAGCTATTTGCCGAGTGTTTTTTATCGCGCACTCGGCAAAAGTGGTTTGCCGAGTGTTTTTCCAAAATACACTCGGCAAAGGATTATTGTTTGCCGAGTGTTTTTGGGAATTACACTCGGCAAACCTATTTTCCAAAGAAAAAAAATATTTTTTTTTCTCAGCATACCATTATTGTTTGCCGAGTGTTTTTGGGAATTACACTCGGCAAACCTATTTTTTAAAGAAAAAAATAATTTTTTTCGCAGCATATTTCAGTTTAATAGCCGCCATACAAAACACTCTTAGTATATCATATCTGCATGCACATCATGCTCCTGGCAACATAATTCTCATAATAACCAAATGGACATAGAAATGAAGATGACAAATTTAAGAGACTAATGACAGGTATAAGTTCAGAAGAATCAACATCCAGAAAAAATCCAAAAACTATGCTACCAAAATAGTGAAGGTAAAACCATCAGCACCCGAGTAGACATGTCTTCTACTCTATTCTTCATGAAACTAGCTTCTTCACTGCTGCAAGAAGGAAGAAATGCGAACATAGTACTGTATGTCGGTAATTACAAGAAATGTAGACAAACAGATGCTTTGTAGGAGTTTATCTTGAGTTTACATCAAAATGCTAAAGGAATGCTTATCACCTAAAATTAACTTGATTCTCTAAAGACCATGAACAGCCCTAAGTAATATAAAACATCACTAAAGTACAATTAAATATGAGATTGCATGAACACTATCTGTATCTGGATATGAACACTATCTGCATGGAACATCACTACAGCTCTAAATTTCAGATTGCATGAATAATATCTGCATATGAGATGTGCCAATTTTCAGTAAAGAAAGGGCAATCAGAGAGGACGTATTCTAGCAGTCAGTTTCTGTATCAAGAATATTTGTACTTTGATCCAAACATAAACTAAACAGGGCCCACCACAAGGCCACAAAATATTTTTAGTCATATAAGTTGAATCAGAAAATGTAGGACTCAGCACAAGGGTAAAAATATTTGTAGTTAAGCAGAAATCAGTTAGTTTACCTCGTCAGCATTGATATCTGAGAACAGAACCTGAAAAGCGCAAACCATATTATGAGTATTATGCACGATGGGCAATTTACTTTGGTAAAAGTACATATGACAAAGGGCTATGCAAGCTCTGAGAGCTCAGACAAGACAGATATCCATTACAGTGAAAAATAGACAAGGACAGAAAACCAAAATAAAACATGTCTATTTTCAGTGTTTGGAGCATGCAAATTTCAGTAGCAAACAATGTCGCACTGGTTGCAGCTTGCAAGTTAGCACAATGTATTTGTTTCAATAACATAACGACTCCCCAATTTACTCAAGTAAACATAACCCATGCATATGCATAATTACAATATAGTTGATATGTCAAAAAAAAACTTTCAGATAACTAGGAATTGGCAACTCTAACTTCCTAACAGTAGCAATTCATTTGAAATCATGCAATTCATTCTACTCATACCGACCCAAATTCAGCAGCTGTTGTAAACTCAGCAATCAATATGCAAAGACAGGTTCTACTATAAATCTAAAACTGTTGACCTTCTCCTATGAATCTAACAAACAATGCAAAGCTGAAACTGAATTGAGCTGCTGTACTGCTACTCGCCACAATCCAACATCTCTGAAAAGAGAACCATTGTTCCATTTGCCGTCTCTGCAGGTTCACTGGAATACTACTATACTAGTGATGTTCTTGGATATAAGTATTTGACTTTTACGGTCATAACATGAACTACTGGATCTCCTAAAAACAAACAGCAGCACAATACCTCCCCCTAACTTGCAGCCCCCATCGACCTTTCCATGTGCAGTCTGGAGTGACGTTCCCTTTCTCGAGCAGCTCCAGGGTTCCAGACGATTTCCCTTCCCAGCCAAACCTAGAGCAGAGAAGAGCAGGCTGTGATCTATGGGAACACAGGAAGGGGAAGAAAACAAATTAGACCTAGAAGCAAACATCTTGTCACCAGCTTGCCGCAGATTTGTCACCGGCAGTGGAGGACTTCGTTGCGGGTTCCTCAAACTGTCCTCACGGGCTCCTGCAGCTGTGGATCTGCGGTCACAGGATCTCCTCCAGCAGCAGATCTCGGGTGGGAGAGGAGGGAAGGGAGGGCGGCGTCGACCTCGGGGAGAGCGGCAGCACAGCGGCGCCCCCTGCAGCATCATCGAGGGCCGGGCGGATCCGGGGAGGAGGAGGAGGGGAGGGGCGGCGCCTGGATCCGGAGAGGGAGGGAGGGCGGGGCCACGCCGAGAGAGGGAGGGAGGGGCGCGGAGGAGGAGGGGAGGGGGGGCAGAGGGCGGCAGGCAGAGAGGGCGCGGGCGGGCGGATCTAGGGAGGAGGCAGAGGCAGGAGGGAGGGGAGCCGAGAGGCCGGGTAGATCTAGTGAGGTGAGTGGGGGGCAGAGAGGAGAGGGAGGGGCGGAGGCGCCTGGCCGGAGGGGAGGAGGGGAGGGCGGGAGGGGTGCGCGGAGAGGGAGGGGGGGAGGCCAGGCTGGCCGGAAAGGGAGGAGGGTGGGAGGGAGGGGTGGCGGCCGGGGAAGGAGGGGGTGGCACTAGCGGGAGGAGGGGAGGGGCGCGGAGGCAGCTGGGAGAGGGGAGCGGGGGCAGGGAGAGGGGAGCACGATGAAGCGCAGCAGGCCGGCGCTCCCGAGGACGGTCACCGTGAGTAATATAGTATAGGAGCTTTGTCGAGTGCCCTAGATCTGACACTCGGCAAAGCAGTGTTTGCCGAGTGTCCTAGATCTGACACTCGACAAAGGATTTTTTTATTTTTTATTTATTTTTCTCTTTTCATGGAGGGACACGTGGCGCGATGTTTACCGAGTGCCGTAATTTGCCGAGTGTTTTTTTTCATATTTGCCGAGTGCTAGAGTTTGCCGAGTGTTTTTCAGTAGAATTGTCGAGTGTCATAATATTTGCCGAGTGTCATAATCTTTGCCGAGTGTTTTTAGTTTGGTACTCGGCAAAGAGATGGTTTGCTGAGTGTCCGATAAAATACACTCGGCAAAAAATATGACACTCGGCAAAGCCTTCGATTCCGGTAGTGCAAAAGACACAGCTTGTAGTTCAAGTTCATCAAGGGACAGATCAACCATTTCAAGAATGCCAACACCACCAAGTGAATCAAAAGAATCCCCTCCTACATCCCACATCCTTGTCTCTCCTGTCTTGTATGCATCAGTTCTTCTTGACAGATGCCTCAGGTTTGAGTGCACAAAGACCAAATCTTCAGCACGCTCTAGAGTTAAGGCATTTCTCTTGACACTATAGACAAAGTTATAGGTGCTCTAGTTTCTTTCACAGCAAGAAGATGAGGCTGGCTGGCTAAGTAATTTCATGGCCAAACTCATCAATAATGGAGCAGATTGTCCATGATTTGTCCACCAAGTCATAGGGGAAACAACCCATCTATCATGGATTGAGTCAGGATCATTAAATTCTTCTGAACAACTAGAGAACCTTGAGTACTCTTCTTTTACTTTAGCTAATTCTTCTGGCATGGGAAAGAACTTCTTGAAGCAAACCATCCTCATTTTTTATACCTCTTTATCCTTGTGGGGTGGTTCACGGCCAGGACCTTCTTCAAGCCACTTTTTGCTATAATATCTGCAATTGGCAATTTGGCATTATGATTTTAGTGAATGAAAAAAATATATACTGACCATTGTCAATGAAAAAAACCTGAATGGCAATTTGTACCTTGGATTAAGTGAATGAGCTAAACAATGAAGTGGATTATTTTCTTTTGTCCACCTAGCAATCAATATGTTATAAATAACCGAGTACAGACTTGACTCCTCATCTTCTTGCTTGCCCTCATATCGATATATGACTTTCTTCACTTTCTCTATCATTGAATCCCACATCTCATAAACTAAGTGAAGACATGGTGTGTCAGTGTTTGTCATACGAATCATTTCATAAATAGGAGTAGTAATCCTAAGAATGTAGTCCACCTTGTCCCACCATACATCACTAAGTATCAAGTTCTTGACAATTTGGACTGTTGGAGTTGGAGAATCATCTCTGACTTCTCTGTACACACTCCATTTATCACTAATCACCATTTGTTGGAGGGCTGTTTTTACCTAACAAACCGCTTCAACATACAAACAACATAGGCAAATCTTGTTTCAGCAATAGAAAATAACTTCAAACGGCTGAACTCATTGAACATTGAAAGCCGCATGCCATGATTCATTATGAAATTCTTTATCATAGCGGCCTCAGTTTTAATATCATGTATAAATTCAAGTTCCCCCAAGCAAATATTTCTTCATCAGAGGGGTTGTTTCCTATTTTAGGTTCACATATACTTTTCATCGCAAGATTGAGGGTATGCACAACACATGGTGTCCAAAATATGTTATCATACTCAGATTCTATTATGAGACTAGCACCTTTGCAATTTGCAGCATTGTCTGTAATGATTTGTACTACATTATGTCGACCTACTTCTTCAATTATACCCTTCAACTTCTCAGCAATGTATTCTTTTGATTTGTACTGACCTTCACAATTATCAGCCCTCAAGAACATAGGTGCCTTGTCAGAAGCAACAACAAAATTGATGATTGGTCGCCTCTGAGGATCTGACCAACCATCAGAGCAGATTGTGACTCCCTTCTCAGCCCATGTACTCTTTGTGCTCTCCAACAAAGTCTCTATGTGCCTCCTTTCTTGCTTCAGAAGTCCCTCCCTAACTCTGTTGTAACCAGGAATCACATAACCTTGCATATTGCGGCTGCAAGCAAAGGTAAAGGCTTCTCGAAGATATGGATTTCTCAGAAAATTAAATTGCTCTACTAATTAAAGCATCTAAGTGCTTACGGTCTTCTAATGCCCAAGCTTTTTCCAATGCAGAAACATGCCCCCTCTTGTTCCTCTTGTTGCTGTCAGCAGTATTGCTTGATGAAGGAGCAATAGGCAAAGAAACAGTTCTTGACTTGGATCTTTCCACCAGATTCTTGCATCTTTCAATTTCCTTCCTCATTTCACTAAGCATTTCATATGTAACATTAGGACATTTACCTATTCCCCTTCCTCCCTTCTGCAGCAAATGAGCTTCAACTCTAGTGTAACTACTTAGTTTTTGCATTGGACAGTACTTGCAGCGCCACATAGCATTTCCTCCACCAGTTCTAGGCTTCTCAAGAATGGTTACATGATCCCAAAGTGGAGCCTTGATGTCAGTTGTGTTTGTGGCTGCAGATCCTACACTAGCACTTGCACTAGCACTGCTCATATTTGGGGACGCCATCTACTGCATACAAGCAAAGCAACAAGAACTGCACTTCATCAATAAGAACTGCACTTCATCAATAAGACTAACTTCATCAATACGAACTGCATACACTAGCAATTTCACTAACAGGAGTAACAGACTAACTAGCAGTTTAGGGTTTCTGGGGAAGACGGACCGGGGATGCGGCGTGGGGAGCAAAGAAATCAAGCATAGATGGAGAAGAAGAGGGAAGGGGATTAACTCATGGATCCACGTCGCAGGGCGCCAGGGCGGAGACGAGTAGGGACGGAGGCGAGCGAAGGCGGAGGTTTGTCGCTGGCGGCCGGTGAGCGGAGGCGGAGGCTCGTCGCTGGCGGCCGGCGAGTAGGGACGGAGGCTCGTCGCCAGTGGCTGGCGGCCGGCGAGCGAGGTTGCGGCGCGACGCGCGGGCGCAGCTGTGAGCTTGTCGCCGTGTGGGACTACAGGAATGCGCCAATGCGGACTGCGGGCGTTGGGGCAGAGGATAAGGTATGTCTTCTGGGCTTGTACTGGGCTGGGCCATATCGGGACGAAGGATACGTGTCTGGTGGCGTATCCGATTATCACGAAAATAATACAAAATAGGATACTCGGAGGATACGTATCCTAGGCGTATCGGACACGTATCCGTATCCGACACGTATCGGATACGCGATACGCGGCTTCAGGGAAGTATCCGTGTAACATAGCATCGGAGACGTCATAGGAAATGGACCTAGAGGGCCTGGACTGGGAGATGCATTGACCATATTGTATATCCCAACTTTCGTATTATCTAACTCAAATTCAGTTTGTCTGATCAAAATTTTCTATGGATGTTTATCTATTGTCAGAACTTCATGTAATCCTATGGACGTTTAGTGTTTTGAAGTTTGAACCATCATAGCAAGCAGTGTTAATTGGATGCCCCATCTAATTCTTGTATGTTGTTGCTAATGGATCGTTTGTTTGAGAACCTAAATAGTAATGGAACCATATTATTATACAGATTTTGTTGTCTGCAAATTCAAAGACCATAATGTTATTGACAATTTATTCCTGCCATTTGCTATGTCAACGGTTTGTTCCTGGCAGTTTTTGTGGCGGTGCACTGGTGCAGCTGCAGCTTAAAACAGCTGCTACAGAATGGCTGCTTGGTATGCTGCTGGTGGCTGCAGCTGCTTCAGTGCTTCTGCAATGCTGCAGCACAGCCAGCACTATATAGCTTCTTTTTTAATCCTGTCTTCTATATTCAGTTATATGAATGTCGTGTTATCTGTAATAGATTGTGCAAGAATCTTAGTGTTTATATACACTTAAAAATACAAAAATAGTTTTGTCCTTTTATGAAGCTAGAAAATATTTGTTATAATTTTGGCCATATGGTTTAATAATTATAAGTTTGTCAAATAATCATGGCTGGGCGCCTGAAGGGCGCCTAATGTTCTAGTGGCATGCATATGTCGCCCAGTTGTTTCACTTTCCAGCACGGAGTGCTACTGACAGTTCGACAGATGTCCCTGGCGCTTCCCCATGCATACTCTGCATTCTTGAAGTGTCTTCTCAATCTCAGTTGCCTCCTAGCAGATCTTGTCATCGCTATGTCTCTCTTGTCAAAGCCATACCGCTATATGATCGTTCCGGCCATCGATCAACGACTTTTCTTTCCTGTTCTGTACTCAGTCAAGAAAGAAGACGGCTCTTGACGCTTTTGTGCGGACTGCCGGTTGCGGTTGCTGAATGCGCGCTCTCACCATCAAGTCTAAGTTCCCAATACCAATTGGCGATCGATGAGCTGCTAGTTAGATGAACGGGTAGTAGAAGCGTAGTACTCTCTCCAATTCAAACTATAAGCGCTTTGTTTTTTTATAGATATGTAACTTCTGCTGTGTACTTAGATTTATAAATAATATAATAGGTCTAGGGACACTTAGTTAATTAAAACAATATATATTAAAAACTAAAATGTCTTATAATTTAGTAGTTTTCTTGTTTTGACTTGGGTTCATTTTGAATTCACAGTAACCGTATTCAGCCACACCGGAGCTCCAAATAAGTTTCAAGGCACCATTAATTTCGACACTGCAGTCTCTGTTATGCAAATGGGTCCTCGTGTCCTCCGACGATATCCTTATTTACAGTTGTACATTCAAAGAACACTTGCAACATCTCACCCATGTGCTGGAAGTCTAGGCCAAAAACAAATGCCATATCAAGTTGTATAAGTTCATGCTATGACAAATCACTTACTCCCTGTATTCTAAATTATAAGTCATTCTGGTTTTCTATGCATATATTATATTTAGATATAAAATAAAAGTAATGTATTTAGAAAAGTTAAGTGACTTACAGTCTAAAACCGAGGGAATAATTGGGACATGTTGTCAGTGCCAACGGCCTAGCTACCAATGAATATGATTAATTGTGGCTTATCCATATGTTGCCAATTTTTAAAATAAAATTTAGTCCATATGAATGACGCTTGCGAAGCCATTTTTTCCTTCCAAAAAGTCACATTGCAAAGAACTTATTTTCATTTATAATTTTCAACTAATGTGGACCGGTAAAAAATGATCTATCACATACTATGAACAAACATCAAAAGTAACAATCACTACATATCATCCGGTGCGCATATGTATAAGATCATTCTCATGATAACCTCTCATCCTTGGAGCAACAATTGGGCCGCTGCAGGTTAAACACGTGGAGCTCTAATCCAAAGTGAACATGCTCCATGGTAGAGTTGGTGAGTAGAGCTGATTATTTTAGGAGATAGAGCAATCTTAAACGTTCCCTTAGATTGGTCGGATTTTCACATATGTTCATTTGGGTAGTATATGAGTTTCTACTCAAGAGCAAAGCTCTTAGGAAGTTACCTATCCCCATAGAACCCCAATTTTGCTTTCGAAAATATGGCCACATATGGTGAGATTAAGGTCTCATATACGATGGAAAGGAATGCATGTAATGAAAGGAATCAGGACAAATGTAGAACTCTGGAAATGGGCGAGGTGACTTTTCATGCTATATTGATAGAACCCTCCGGCGTTTGGCCACGGCCTGTCTCCAACTCTGCCTTGCACGGTGGCTAGCTGAGGCCGCCACCAACCTGTGTGCATTGCCAATAGCTCCGACTCCGACCTCAACTCATCCGTACAACACCCCGATCTGTTGGAGGAGCTCGCCGCCACTCATCCGCCGGAGGTGCCATCCAACTCCAGCCAAATCGATAGGTGAGCCCCATCTCTCCCTCTTCCCTTGCATTGGGGCTCTGGCGTTGTAGTTGTGCCGATTGCGAGCTTGACGCCCCGATTCATCGCCAAAAATGTCCTCCCGCTGGAATCAACTGCCAAATAGAGGAGAGGGATACATCCCCCTCATTGAGGGAGAGGGGCTGAGTTTAAGTAATTATTTAGAATATTTAGGTACTGGTAATGAGATAAGTAATTTATTGGAACCTTCTCAATCTCTTATATGACAATTTTTTGTATTGGAGGGATGATTTAGGTAATTTGTTGGAGATGCTCTAAAGAAACCTGCAGCCAGGTGCTACATGAAAATTCATGAACTGACAAAAAAAAATGTTTAAATAGTGGGATGGCAATTGTTTTTTTTTCACGACCAGGTGTGTCCTGTTTTTCATTAAGAGGAAGAGAATTTAAACCGTACACAACCGAGCACGGGGCCGTTGATTTGGCGAGCGGCCTCAACAACGTCCAGCTAAGAGTCCTACCTGACTACTGGATCCAAGGTTTGCGATTACATGCCCAAGGAATTTTACGACCAATACAGATGAAGCGCGCCCAGAGGCGCAAAGCCCGCCAACACCCAGTCTTCACCTTCCTTGATCGCCGCTCTGACGACATCAAGCACCGAAGATGGCCCTCTACCAAAGACCCCACAATAGTGGGATGGCAATTGTTAATCGCGTCCAGAATAATACTGTTTGTTTCTTAGCTTATCTTGATTGTGAATTCAAATAAAAGTTGGTTTTTTAAATATAATATATGAATTGTGATTAGTCCAGCGGGACGCTACCCACCAGAGTTCAAACCCTGGTGATCGCATCTTTTTCTAAAAAAATTAAGGTACACACGCATGCGCGTTTGGTGGTACTGCGTGTTTCCCGCGCACCGGAGGCAATGTGCCCCCAATCTCTTCTTTGCGTGTGTACAGACACACACGTGTGTGTGCATGTGGTGTGAGTGTGGAGTATGTGGGCTGTGTGGGTCTAAGTTATACCCGATCAAAAAAAAATATTTATTTCTGTCCCAAGGGGCTTTTTGTGAAACATCCTGGCGAGATACATGGGCCAAATGGCAAATGGTACCACGACTCCAGGACAGAGGTCTTCACGCCGCCATGGTGAACTCCCGCATGTCGTTCTTTCTTCAGAAATGCTCTGCTTAGCGCTGTCTGACCGTCAGGACGCTCCTGTTGTCATGGGCCACGACAGCCCGAACGCCCACTGCGTCTTGTCCACATTCCACTCCATAAGTTTGTAATAAATAAATCCACTCTAGAATGTTCGGAGCCCGGCTTCATGCGGCCCTCCACTGGTCACCGAGGCCGCGTAGCTGCAGATTCTGGTGTGGTCCACTCCGCACTCTCCCCCATAGGTCACAGCCATGGCGGAGGACTCCCCCAACGCCGCCGCCGAGGGCAGCCAGCCCGTGACCTCTGAGGGGTCCGCCGATGCCGCCCCGGCGGGGGCCGCAAGCGCCAAGGTCGCGGAGGTGCTTCTCCCGTTGCACAGCATCTGGCCGCCATCGCAGCGCATGCGTGACGCCTTGTGTGCCGCCTTGTGCAGACGCTCGCAGGCCCAACATCCTCTCCTAGCGCTATGGTGCCGTCCCGAAGCTCGATGCTGAGCGTGCCGCCGCGGCCGTCGAAGCCGAGGCCTTCACCGCCTCCTCCAAGTCCGTCGCCACCGAGTCCCCGGCCTCCGTCGAGGAGGGGGCTACCGCAGTTCCCCACCAGGTAGGCTGTGGTCGGCGGCGATGTCGTGTTTCAGG